TGTAAGGTTTTCAGAAGATCCTAGTCGGTCGCACCCTATCTCCCGTCGTCAGCATCGAACGCGCGGTGTGGCGCGTTCGATCTAACACCCAGTGTTGTCGAACGCAAAACCCTTCAATCTCATCCACCTGCGTGTCGGATGAGATGGATTTTCTTCTATAGACTCTTTTCATGGAAAACGCCATCAGGCGCTGTTCCACTCTTTGATGTCCCCGAGAACTTCCGGTTTATAAAATGAATGAACAAAGGCGACCTTAACACCGGTGCTTGAAATGTTCGTGAAATCCTCCAGGTGAACACGAAACGAACGAAGAAGCGCGAGATCTGTTAACATACTTGGAATATTCTTGAAAACCATCTTGCCTCCTTCAATACGTTAAATTGTACAGCCGAAGGCCCTCGTTAAATGTCCCACTTTGTTGTCCGTGTAGCATTTCTGCTTTCTAGCGCCGGTGACGTAAGCAAGCTCGACAGACTTGCGAAGACGGTGCGACCGGAAGTCGCCTGGCACGCAAGCGCCAGTTCATGTTTATAGACCAACACGCGGAGCTGACGTCACGCAGCTGCGGTGGCGCTGTCAACGGCACTGCGCATGCGCAGACGCTTCGCTTCACACGAATTCGGTTTCTGCGCGCGCGCAGTGCCCACACCTGGTGTGGGCAAACACGGGCTTGTTTGTAAACAGCCGTGTCGGTCTATAAGTAAACTGCAAAAGGTCTATTGGACTAGTTGTAGTATATGAATTCCTTCCCACGAATCAGCAGAATAGCGTATTTGCACTTTCAAATCTCTCAGTGTTTTCCCTTTTTTTTCTTCCTGCATACAAGACCGTCACGAAATGCCAGAAGTAGTGTTCTCGTGTATTTTTCCACTTTATTTCCTTCGCGGGGGTTCATCGCGTAGGGGGCAGAAACCAAGGCCAGAGAGTTTAGCTGCTCAAGTTTGTTACGTGACGGCCTGCGTTTCGAACGCGCGAGCAACAGAGCTGCCTGAACCCACAAAGGGGCAGGGGGGACAACTGCTCGGCTTTCACGAATGTCGGTGCAAAAGGTCGCTTCCTGAAGCCATCTGGGTCTTTACTGCGGACGGTGAAACAGCCCCCACCTTACACGAAGCAATCATGGCGAAAACAAACCAAAGCAAAACAGGAAAGCAGTCAGAGAGCGGAAAGAATCGCTTCGAAGGCCCGTACATTAACCTCAGTAAATAGTGATCGCGCTTCAAATATTCGCGTGGAAGTCGATAATAAAATATGGCAAGTGTCAGCTAAAAAAAAAAAAAAAAAAAAAAAAAACATTCACGTTTGAAAATTTTTTGGTACACAATTGTTGCGCGCTAGAATAAAAGATGGGACAACCAGGAAATAGTTGCAATTGAGTAGCCCTTTGAATAAAGGCTATGGCATACTATCATATCCCCGGAACTTGAACAACGAGAACTAGAATTAATGAAATTACAGTGAAAACATTCATACACTATCCAATGCAAATGCAATATCACTGCTTACCAGAATCATATTGCACTCGTCTTCATAAAAACGGATCTGCACACTTCCATAGTAAAATTGTGACAGAAACGAAGCGAACAAAACACACACACACAAAAAAATCATTTAAAATTTTTTTTTTGAAGACTACAAAACGGTTTAGTAGGATCTATGTCCGTGTCTCCTGTAAAGTTTTCGTCACCTGATCCCACCGGCGCGACAAACATTCCTCGCGAACAGCCGAAATCGAACTGAGCGTAGGTCGACAGGAAGAGCTCAAAACGGCGATACTTCCGCCGTCCAGGCTCCAGCACAATGCTCTCCACTTCGCGCTCCAGTTCGTGGCCGACACGTGCAGCTGGGGCTTCTCGCTTGCCGGGAAGCGACTTTCCAACCCCGTTCTCGGATTACCATGCTACGTTCCACCTCGCGCTGCTAACGACGCTACAAGCAGAGTTCCGTTTTTTTTTTTTTTTTTTTTCTTGTTTTTTAATGCGTTAGTGCCCTGGTACGTGCGCTGACCTTGTTGTGGTTTCTTTATTTTTGGGTGAAGAAAAATTAGGGGAGCTAGGAGAGAGGCCGTGGACCCTCGATCAGGGACAAGTCGCTACCTAGCATTTTGAGAGAGGGATAAATGAAGGAAGGAGGAAAAAATAGTTACGTACAAGTTTGAGCATCCGATGCACTGTAGTCCAAGAGCCAACTGAGTCCGCAACGATCAGGGAGATCACATCCGCTGTTATCGCAGTGCCGATCCGAGATGGCAAAGTCCGTCAGTGTACCGCGGAGGTTCCCATCTCGGCTCCCTGCTGCTAAGTTCTAACTTGACATGGCATCTCTATTTTTATTTTATTTCAAATATTGCAGGCAGCAGCGCTGCCCCGGCAGAAGGGGGTTACGTAAGGAAGGTGTGACCAAACAAGACGTTTGAATGTATTCACAGTTATGCTTTCAACGAGTATTGTCGGCAAGCGATTCCACTGTTCTTTTCGTTGATAACGATGGGCACCTGTGTAGTACGGTGGTCTTACTGACAGCCTCCTAGAAGGGGAAGCATTATCTGGATGATGGATGCAAGGGTACCGGCCCAGGAAGCTTCAAGTTTCGCTAAAACGGTAAATGCTATGTTAGCACCTGCCTTTACGATTGATATCCATCTAGTAGCTTCCTTTTTTCATGGTCACTAGGCCGCTAGCGGTATCTTCTCTTTTACAACTTGGTCTTTCTTGGCACAGGTTCGTTCGAAAGTGTCCGCGTTGGGTTAGGTTAGCTTAGGTTAGATTCTCTGGTCTTAAAAACCTTGTGTCAGATATGACTGGCTGCGTGATTGGTGTCCATTTTTACAATTTTGGCCGGTTCTTTTGAGCGCTGAAGCATAAGCGTTTTTAAGAGTCTCTTCTGGCTTTGGCTTTGATCTTCTAGCACCCTCGGTGATGTCCCTGGTCGTCTTTATGACGGGAGAAGTCGGACCTTGCTTCACGAAACCCTGTATTCATTTTAGAGCGCAGCTCTTAGGGGCCCGTTTCCGGCTTGAGCGGCGTCGGCGTAACCGCGCGGTGCATTATGGGTAAATTTCCCCGCTAAATCTAGCGGAAAAATTTCTCCGCTAAACCTAGCGGGAAAAATGCCCCGCTAAGTCTAGCGGAAAATTTTTTCTGGGGGGTCACGTGACCCCCCAAGGTCACATGACCCCCCCCCCCCCCCCCGCCCCGAGAACAGGTAACCCCCAGTACCCTTCCCTCCTCCTGCTCAAGAGCTGCGCTCCAATTCGGTGTTACCCTTACAAAAATGATCAACGAGTTTCAATTGACTTTCTATTGTGTTCCTATAGAGTCAATTGAAACTCGACATAAACTCAATGTCTAATGAGTTTGACCCTTAGAAACTCAATTTTGATTCTATTGAATTTACTCATTAGGAATGCAATTGAGACTGATCATAAGAAACTCAATATCGATTCTATTGACTTTACTCACTAGGAATGCAATTGAGTTTGATCATTAGAAACTCAATATCAATTCCATTGAATTTACTCAATAGGAATGCGATTGAGTTTGGTCATAAGAAACTCAATTTAGATTCTATTGAATTTACTCATTAGTTACTTTACTCATTTACTCAAATGAGACTGCTCATAAAAAACTCAATATCGATTCTATTGACTTTACTCACTAGGAATGCAATTGAGTTTGATCATTAGAAACTCCATATAAATTCTATTGAATTTACTCATTAGGAATGCAATTGAGTTTGGTCATAAGAAAGTCAATATCGATTCTATTGAATTTACTCATTAGGAATGCAATTGAGTTTGGTCGTTTGAGGATTACTGCACCCGTGTGCACCGAACGATTATTGCTTGTACCAATGTTTTTCTATTAAGGGATAGAGTCCAATGACGTCGAGACACTGTTTATCTTCTATGAGACTTTCAAGGAGGAAATAGGAAACTGGGAACCTTAGTAGATGCTGAGGTGGTCACCGGCCAAATGAATACCTTTCTTATGTAGGGTATATAAGGCGGTGGGGTAGTCAAGGGAGTACGATTAGTGGGTTGTGAGTGCTTAGTTACGATGTTTTCGTTTCCTCTATGTGCTTTGTTTCTTTCATGTTGCATGCTTTAAAGAATTGTGAAAAAAAAATTCTCACCCAGAGCAATTTTTTTTAAATGCAGTTGCAATAAATTCTATTGAAGCACGTTGCAATAATTCAATTGAAAGTCAATTGCAATATTTTTATTAAAACTCAATAGCAAAAGTTCTATTGAAACACTATTGCCAAAATTCAATTGAAATGCAATTGCTAAAAATTCAATTAAGACTATGTGGCCAATATTCTGGGACGGATCAATAGCGACTCAATAGAAAAAGTCTATTAAGTTTCAATTGAGACTGAATGAGGTCTATTGAGTGAGTCCTTTACACTTTCAATTGAAAGTCAGTTCATTTTTTTGTAAGGGTACAGGGAGTTGTAAACGGCGTTCATATTTTTTTTAATAAACTTTTTTTTTTAATATGTAGCCATAGACTCTGCTTTTTTTTTTAATAAACTAAATTTTTAGTAAACGGCGTTCATTTTTTTTTTTTTTTTTTTAATATGTAGCCATAGACTCTGCTTCCTTCCACCTCGGACATACGTGCGATGTAGCCTCACGATTGCCGCTGCAATTGATGCATTTCACTGAGCTAAACGTGCATTTCTCAGCCGTCGGAAGGTGGTTCTCAGCACATCGATTGGACGCTTGGGCGCGTTTGCAGGCCCTCTTTTTGTGTTCAAAACCGCCGCAGTTGTGGCATTGTAGGGGCTTCTCTTTGAATGAGAGAACCGAGCGCCGCGCATATCCTAGTAGGACACTGCTAGAAAGGTGGCTGCCGCTGAAAACGATTTTGACGACTCGAGATATTTTAAGTCTTCGCACACTGGCAATCTTTGCTTCTGATCCTATGGGTGCTGCGCCAGTTCTTCGTCCGTGACATCCGCATCAGCGTCGTGAATTATTCCGATGCTAGTACGGCATGGCAATGAAGAGTATGGCTCAACCTGGATTCCGCAGAGCCATGTATTGTTCATCAGCACTTGTGCTGCATGTCCGTTTCGGACGTCGACTGCCATATGGTTGATTCGTTGACTGTTGCGAACTTGAAGAATGCATTCCGGACTTCTCTTCTCGAAAGCCTGTGTGACCTTGAGACTGCTAAGGAAACTCGCCTCCGAGTCGGTCAGACCATATACGACGGTGGGACTGTTGGAAACGCATTTTGACACACGAGCTGTGCGAAATTTGTAGAGGGAGTCATCACTTCAAACTCGTTTTCGATTTCCAGAGATGTACCATGGTCCTCGGGAGTCGTTGTCCTGGTCCATGTCGGAATGTTCCAGGTTAGGGAATTCAGGGGAGGCGTTTGGAGGGACAGCAGGGCTGTCTTCCGTGGGGTTTACCGCAGGTATTGCCCAGGTGCAGGTTAAAGTTACAGTTACTCATACGAAAAGGTGCCTAGGTACGTACCTAGGTATTCGCTTAAAAATGTACCTAGGTACTTCAAAGATACTTTATTTCCCCAAATTTGTGAGAATATATTGGAAGTAAAGATTTTTATACTAAGGATACTGTTGTGTTCTGCTATTTCTCTTTCACTTCTTCTTCTATGTATTGCCCTACCTATCTCACTTTAAGAATCCTATCCTCTTTCTTTTCTTCTTTTCTATGACATAAAAGCAGTTCATCACGAGGCACCGGACGAGATGGTCGTTCTTTCATAGCGGTACGCTTGCTGCTGAATTCTACATTATGGCGACGAGGATGGGATCTACGTGAGTTCTGCGCTGGACTGGGCTTCAGCGAGGACATGCGGGGAATGCTGATCGCCGAATGGGCAATTTCTTGCGTGTCCCGGCAAAACCTTCCCCAGAACTGATCCAGCAACAAGATGGCGACTACATCGAACGGCATCACCGAGTGCTGAGAAGCCATCTTGGAGCAGCCATGGCCTCGGGCGGCAAGCTACCCCCAGAGTTCTTAGTCAAGCTGGGACCTCCGCCCATTCCATGGGAGCGATGGATCAAGATGTTTGAGCGTTATTTGCTGGCAACTGGCGCTCAAGAGTTTGGTGCAGAACGCCGTCGGGCAATGCTGCTCAACTGTCTCGGAGAGGCCGGCCAGCAGATTTACGACGCTCTACCAACGCCTGAGCCTGCTGTTGAGGAAGCGCTAGCACCGCTGGCAGCAGCAGGTGGCGAACAAGTTGTGGGAGCTCCCCTTGATGTCTACGAGGAAACAGTTAAGTTACTGGAGGCTGAATTTACACAGCCAGTCAATGTGACGCTCCAGGAGCTCCAGTTTCATCTACGAAGACAGAAAGAAGGCGAGTCCCTTCGCGATTTTCTGTCGGCTCTACGGACGTTAGCCGCCAACGCTAATTTTGGAAGCCGTACTCAAGACCGTATCCGGAAACAGTTCATGATTGGAGTGGCTTCAACTGAAATTCAGGAACGGATGGTCCTCGATGCAGCTCTCCCGTTCGACGTTGTTATGCATACCGTCATGAACCTGGAAAGATCACGTCGAGAGGTTCGAGAGTGGGCTGGCGTCGCTGCACCGAGCGAGCAGACCTGTCAAGTGACGCACTCATCAGACTCGTCAGCCTCGAGACAACCCAGGGAGAGACAGTCCGGGCGACGTGAAGGGCATGCTTCCAGAACGCCATTCAAGCAGCCTGCCCGTCAGCATAGTTCTTCACAACGGATATGCTATGAGACATCGCCGCCACCTCCACGGAGGTCATCATCCCAGAGGGTTGCGAGACAACGTCCTGCCTCGAGAGACGCGTGTGCGACCTGCGGGGGAAGCGGCCGAGATCCGTTCTCCAGCCATCAGCAACCACGACCTGGACAGTCGTCGGACCGCCGTCAGGACCCCGCGGCACAGTCAATTCGCTCAAGGCCAGGCTGGCAAGGGCGGCAGCATTCAAGGCGACATGACAATTTTTGCCACACACGTACTTGTGCCAACTGCGGACATGGTCCTCATCGATGCCAGAGCTACGACACCTGCCCCGCAAGAAACCTTTATTGCTACAACAGTGGTCGCAGGGGTCACCTTGGCCGCGTATGCAGAAGCATACGTCGGGACTACCAGCGATCGCGATACAAGCAAGTGGAGCAGGTGCTCTCAGATTATGATGACTACGACGACGACGATGATTCTGAGATCGTATGCCACATAACAGAATCATTAACTAAAAAAGTCTTGATTACCGCCAAAGTCTTTGGAACGCCGATACAGTTCCTGCTCGACACCGGGTCATCCGTCTCAATAATGGACAAAGCCACGTTCATGCAATGGTTTGCGCGAGATGCACTCGGCGTACTACCACCGGTGACGCTACTGAATTATTCGCGCCAGCCCATTAATATCCTGGGAGCCTTCAAGGCAATGGTGATATTCAAGCAGCGTCACGCGCAAGTGCTATTCTACATCGCAGACCAAGGCACATCATTGTTAGGCATGGACGCCGTTGTGGCGCTGGACATCAAAATGAGCCGAGCAGCGCGGACTTGTTTTTATACTGCGACCAGTGACATCGGTGAGGCCTCTACAAGTGGGGCAGAACAACCGTCAACGTCGTCACAATCACCTACATTGACAACCAAGTCGATGGCATCAAATTCAGCCGCGACCTCTCAGCTGCACGACTCGTCAGCTGCACTGGAGGAAAAGTGAACTGAACGGCTTCTGCCACCAGCAAAGGCAAGTCTGATTCTACCTACTGCCTTAGCGAAGCCTGTGTCTTCTCCTCCTAGACTTCCATCATCTCTGACACACTTCGATCATCTTTTCACCCTAGGACTAGGCCGAGTCAAGGGAGTCACCTGTAAGACAAAGATCCGTTCCTCTGTCACTCCCGTTAAACATCGAATGAGACGTATTCCTCAAGCTGCTCGCAAACAAGTTTCTGACGAGATTAAACGTCTTGAGGAGGCCGGAGTAATCGAACGCATTAATGCCTCCGAATGGGTGTCACCGATAGTAGTCGTCCAGAAGAAAGACGGCAGTATTCGCATGTGTGTTGACCTTTGTGAAGCGAACAAAGCGGTCGTAATCGACAGCTACCCGCTTCCACACATTGAAGAGTTGCTGAACGCCTTACATGGAGCGCAGCGTTTTTCCAAATTAGATCTCGCTGCCGGATACCATCAAGTCCCATTACACCCGGATAGTCGGGATTTGACAGCGTTTATTACGCATGAAGGACTGTTTCGCTTTAAGCGAGTGTGTTTTGGATTAGCCTCAGCGCCAGCCACATTTCAGCAGATGATGGCGAAGATATTACAGGGCTGCAAAGGAGTGCTTTTCTACCTCGATGATGTGGTTGTCTACGGTAAGAACCAGCAGGAGCACCTGGAACGCCTGAAAGAAGTGCTCGTGCGCATATCTGAGGCTGGTATGAAACTCAACAACAAATGCGTGTTTGACGTAGGAGAAATTTCGTTCTTGGGGCACAAAGTTAGTGCTGCGGGGATTTCACCCCTTCAAAACAAAGTCGACGCTATTCGTGCGGCACCCATTCCCACGGACCTAAAGCAGTTGCGGTCATTCCTAGGAATGGTTGAATATTATTCACGCTTTATACCGCGCCTGGCTTCTGAAGTGGAACCGCTTCGAACGTACTCGAGGAAGGACACCCCGTTCATCTGGGACCAGGCAGCAGATCGAAGTTTCAATCGGGTGAAAACGCTGCTGTCCTCTGCAAGAACGTTAAAGATGTTTGACCCAGAGCTGCCTATCATCGTAGCTACGGATGCTTCAGCTTATGGAATTGGAGCAGTGTTGCAGCAGCTTCACGGACAAGACATTCACCCAATTGCTTTCGCATCACGAACGCTGACTGCCGCAGAAAGGAAGTATTCTTCGGGTGAACGAGAGGCCCTTGCGTGTCTGTGGGCCTGTGCAAAATGGCACCCATATCTCTGGGGTCGCCAATTCACTCTGCGCACAGACCATCAAGCTCTCGTCGCTCTTTTGGCCACAAGAGGGACCGGACATCGCCCACTCCGGATCACTCGGTGGTCGACCCGGTTGCTGAACTATAACTTTCAAGTACAGTACCAGCGTGGCGCAGAGAATCAAGTAGCTGACGCTCTCTCCAGACTTCCGGTACCGGAAGATGAGGGAGGGACAGCATTTGACGAGCAGATTGTGTCTTTCACCGCTCTGAACGACGAATGCATATCAAAAGCTCAACTCCAACAGGAAACGGCGGATGACCCCCAGCTGACTGTAGTGATGTCTTATGTCATGTCGGAATGGCCACCATCTAGGGCGTTGTCTTCCGACGAAGCCATCTTCCACGCCACTAAAGAGACACTCTCTGTACACGACGGTCTCCTGCTGCGCGGGGAACAGTTCGTCGTTCCTACCAGTATGAGAAATGCTCTCATCGGCCGAGCACACGAGGGCCACCCTGGCATCGTCAGGACGCAGACTCGCCTTCGCGAACTATATTGGTGGCCCCGCATGAATGCGGAGGTGAAAATGGCAGTCCAAACCTGCGGTGTTTGTAGCTCGGCTGACAAGAGTGCAAAGACATCGCCAACACCTTTGCAACCCGTGCCCTTGCCAGAGCGACCATGGTCAAAGCTCGGCATCGACATCGTTGGCCCATTTGAAGCTTCGCCACCAGCGTATCGGTACTGCATCACGCTCGTGGATTATTTTTCAAAGTGGCCTGAAGTCCATTTTTGCTCCAACGTCACGACAAGCACGGTGACCGGTTTCCTGAAGCTCGTCTTTTCTCGGGAAGGATACCCCGACACCATTGTGTCTGACAATGGACCTCAATTTTCTTCTGCAGAATTCGAGAGCTTCCTGGCTAAGCGAGGTATTAACCATCACCTGGTCTCTGTGTATTATCCACAAGCGAACGGGCAAGTAGAACGATTTAATCGTACCTTCAAGTCGTTCTTACAGTGTGCTGCACTAGAGAAGCGTCCAATCCACTCTGCCGTTCTGGATTACTTGTGCGTGTATCGTTGTACGCCGCACGCAACGACAGAACTGTCTCCTGCGGTTCTGCTACATGGACGCAAGCCACGCAACCGGCTTCACATCATTGGCCTTTCTCCATCGCAGTTCTTGAAGAACCCATTTGAGGAGCTGCAGCGTCTGCGGTGCCGAGTGCAGCGGGGACAAGAGCACAGCAAGCGCTACACAGACAGACGGCGAGCTGCCAAAGTTCCGACATTCCAGGTCGGCGGATGGGTGCGCGTCAGGAAGCCAGGAAAGGTAAAGAAGGGAGACCAAGCTTTTGGTCCGGCAATGAAAATTGTGGAGCGTGTCGGTCGATGGACCTTCAAGCTTCAGGACGGTCGGATCTGGAACGCCTCCAAGCTTACAGCGGCAACGGCTCCACCTGGCCCAGATAACGTTGAGAAGTCGTCGCAAGCAACGACACAGTCTTTTGAGCGCCTTCGTACACAGGGAATTCTCAGAAAGACCTCTAGAAGCCAGCGTCCTCATCATGAGTGGCGGCCAAACAGATTAAAGCAGGCTACTCAGTGGCAGCAGCAGCAGCTAAGGCCACATACGCCTCCGCCTTTTCCACCTCCACGGGGACAAGATGAGGATGGAGACGAAGCGTGCCCAGGTAGTCCAACCGGTCTTTTTGACTCTCGACAGGGTGCCGTGACGGTGCCACCAAGTACACACCAAAGAGTGAGGTTGCCACCGGAAATTCCCGTTCCCTCAGTGGATGCTACAATTCCCCCATGCCAGTTTCCGTTCCCCCAGTGGAGGAGCTTCGGCGATCGACCCGAACTCGCCGACCACCGGTTCGGTTTAGAGATCTGAGTCTCTGACCCGCGGTGACAGACGTGACAGTTGACTATATTTGTCTTGGGGCGAAGAGAAGTTTACATATTTCTTTAACGCTTATTATCCGAAGTGCAATTTATTGCTGGAATTCTGTAAATAACTTGCCGTAGTTTTGTAAATAAGTTGCTGGAATTCTGTAAATAACTTGCCGTAGTTTCGTAAATAACTTGCTGGAATTCTGTAAAAAGAAACTTTCTGACAGTGTTATTTGAGATATTGTGTACAAGAGTATGAGTGTTGAGTGCGAATGCTTTAAAAATAGCCTAGGCTAAGAGTCAATGAATGCTTAACTTGAATTTCTTTTGAATTATGATTTGTGCATCTTTGCTTTGTATGTATAATATCTATGACTGGTTTTGTTATGTGCATTTTGTATAGTCGTTTTTTCTCCAAAAGGGGAGGGGGGAAAATGTTGTGTTCTGCTATTTCTCTTTCACTTCTTCTTCTATGTATTGCCCTACCTATCTCACTTTAAGAATCCTATCCTCTTTCTTTTCTTCTTTTCTATGACATAAAAGCAGTTCATCACGAGGCACCGGACGAGATGGTCGTTCTTTCATAGCGGTACGCTTGCTGCTGAATTCTACAGATAAACACAAAAACGAGTTCGATAAATGTGCTTTATTAGTGTCAATGCGACGTCCACATCGGAGTTGAGTCCTCACGTGCTTTATCCCCACGCTCCAATTGGTTCACCGTTTTTACAGCTTCCACTGTTTACCATGTCACACCGAAACCGCCGAAACTCGCTTGTTGACGTTCTGGCCCTCAGAGCCGGTGCTTACGTCGACGGGCCCAGAAGACGTCGGCCGCATCAAGAAAGGCGCGAGTCGAGTGCATAGGCACCGAACCTCGACGACAAACACAAAACTTAAAGCTTCCTCGTTTTTTTTTTCTTTCGTGTGTTGAATAAAAAAAAAAAAAAAAAAAAAGCTTTTTTTTTTTTTTTTAGAACTGTTTTGATAATTTTAGAATTTGAGTCTGATTTATTGAGTGGAAACTGTGTTATATACGGCGATGTTGCCTTGCGTTACGATTGTAATTGTAATTTATTTTTAATTATATTTTATATTGTATTTATGGCAGAAGAGAGCCACCACCAGGACGAGACACAGGCAACGGAAACTGCGCACATCTTTCAAGTTATCTCCTCCCTTGTATAGCTGTCAGGGGAGCTTTAAACACGAAATGAAGTCGATTTCAGTTTGATATGAAGGAAGCGGGTCACTATTTTCCCTAAACGGAGTTCCGAAGCGATTCGATAAATTGGTGTCGCTCGTCAGGCACGTAGCCAAAAATTTTATTCGGGCCCCCCCCCCCCCCCCCCCCCCCCCCCTGGCTACTGGCTACGTGCCTGGTGTCGCTAGAACGGCACCGCTAATCCACCGTTCGCTCAAATTAACACCGCCATTCGCTAAAGTGTCGTTCAGTGAAACATCATGGGCGGAGCTTCGTTCGCTGAAACGTCGTTCGATCAAGTCAGTGCCTCCCGGGCCCTACCCTACAACTCAGCGTTAATCACGGCACATGGTAGTGTTTTAATATTTCCAGATTTATATATTTTCTACCATTTTGACGAAGTGTATTGGAAAGTACCTGTAAAAAGTAACTTCACTTAGTTACAAGTTACTGGAAAATGTACCTAAGATGCTGATATAGATACCGAGAAATGAAAGGGTTTGTACCTGAGGCACAACAAAAGTACCTAGATACCGATTTCCAGTTACTTGTAGGTAGTTACCTCACAACCCTGCCTAGGAGTGATGTCAGCAGCATCACCTATGCTCGCTGCTCTCTAGATGAAGACATGGTTCCTTGCATTCAGAGGCGTTTGGTGGTGCAAGACAACCCCAATTCCACTTGTCAGGACAAAACTTTCAAATCAGGATACACATATACATAGATTTCAATTATAGAAAATATCGAGAGAGCAAAATTTCGCGTTCCTCGCTCAAAGAATTTCGTCGTAATTTTCGCGCTGACCTTGGACTAGTTTGGAGCACACGTATGTAAAGTTCGCAACATCGCCACGGGATGGCGTCACAGCCCCACTGGCTGCAAAGTCCCTCGAAAAAATTCAAGCTTTTAAGTACCACCAACCATTAATGTTGTGACCATTGTTGTGAAAACGCGCAAGACACGTGCCACGAGCGGGTGCTCCGCCGCCATTTTGTTTCCAAGGGCCGCTCATTTCAGTGCTGCGCCGCCATTTAATTCCAAGGGCCGCTCGAGACACGGGTCTCGTGCTCTGGCGCATTCGACACTATACTTGCAAGACAAACGCAAACGCATCGAGGGGCTTTAACTGGCTGTGGAAACTGGCTGAGAAACACAATCTGCAAGCGCCGACAGATGGCGGCGGGAGGCCAATATCGAGATGCTTGGCGAAAGGACGCATAGCAACGGAGGCCGCACTGGATTGGCTGGTTATAGGGAGCGATGCCGTGACGTAACACTTAGCAACCGAAGATCGCCGGCGACGTCCCCCTTCGACAATTTCGGTGCCGCGCAGTGCGGGAGGGCGGGGTGCGTGTTAACCCCTCCCTGTCCATAGAGTCTAGACGTTGCGCTTCAAAACGCATTCCATAGAATACACTGCAGCAGCCGCCGTCCCCATAACAATAGAGCGTCGAGCGAGGAGGAGGAGGAGGAGGGAGGAGGAGGAGGAGGAGGAGGAGGAGGAGGAGGAGGGTTTACTGCTCGTGGAAGCAGCGTCGATGGGCAGTTCCGTAACTGAGTTGATAAAAAAATACACAAAAAGCAAAGATGCACTTTCAAACAGTTTCTGAAGCTCGATGAAATGTTGGGAGCTAATTTAATTGGGAAGGTCAAAATAAAGCTCCAAGAAAAAGCTTTCCCGAACAGACGAACCCGCCGTTGGCATTGTATCTAGCTCCCTCTTTTTGCGAGGTTTTAAACAAACGTGTAACGGATTTTCTTTTTTCAACTGTTTCGCGAGTGACAGTCTAAGTATATAGTCCAAAATATGCCGATGCAAGTGTTGACACGCACCGACGCATATCGTCGCTCGCGTCCTCATACATTCCCCTCCCCGTCTGCGATGTATGCCGTCGGAACTGCGAATCGATCCAAAGCCAATCCATATCCTAAGCACCGAGACGCCCTACCAAAACGAGTGCGGATTGATCTCTTTTTTACGCTGTCTTTCGAAACGGCAAAATGTTTAAAAAAGATATAATCGAATATATTTTTGAAGCGTTTTTTTTTGCGAACGTTGTAGTTTGGACCGACAGGCGTACTCATTTTTTCGTCATTGTTTTCTTCTACGTCCATGAAACTAATATAGAATTGTCCATCACAAGCCTGGCTACAAGGAGATATAGCGGAAAATTATGTCCATTCGTTTTATGCGAGCATTTTTGGTGGAGGACGCGTCCACGCAAAAGTAGGAAACCGTCGGTGAGCCCACAAAATCGGCGGTCCGTTCCGGGCACGACAGTTGGAACGGAGCTCTGAAACGACGCACTCTATTCCAATTGGACTGGTTTCCCGCGTCGCATCCTTCATAAAAGCGAAAGAAGGCCACACTGAATACAGAGTATTCACTGGACGCCATATTTGTGGGTGCTGTGTAGAGCGCGTGCTCAGAACGAGCTCACATCAATAGGCTGCTAAGACCGGCACTCTTGAGGGTGCGGAATGCACGTTGCAAAAGAACTGTGGATGCTCGCCTTTAGCACGCACTCAGCATTCGCGCACAGAGCTATGGCCGCCAGTGAATACTCCCTATACGGTGTTCAAACACATCTTACTTGTTTAGTCTGCTGCATGCAGGGTAGGGCGACATTGTTACCAGATAAGTAACGTAGCCATGCAGTCCGGCGAGGGCTTTAACGTGCATCACGCAGTAAGTGACGTTGGGAATACGCGTAGAGTGAACAAGACGTTGAATCAGGATGGAGAATAACAAGCGAGATGATTCAAGTCGCGATTTGTATAAGATTAGCTCTACCGTGATAATTTCAATCGAACCTTTCCCGCGAAAGTAATCGCGAAAAAAAAAAAAAATGTTTACCGTTTATCTATATATCGATGCTTGCTTTCTACGTACATGTGATTATATTTTAATCAAATAAATTAAGGAAGAAATATTCATTCCAGGCTGAGCTCGAGTAAAAAGTAGCGCTCGTCGGAACAACCAAAGCGTTTTCTTTCTCTTTCTTTGTCAAGCTAATCAGAACGCGAACGGAAACTCGAATGTCCTGTTGCAAGAAAATCGAAATGTGAAAGAAAAAGCAAATGGAGCTTTATGAACAACCAGAAAAAATCGAGCTGTTTTTGTGCTCCCATGACGGGATTACATCGATAACATATGGTTAATTTAACTACTTTTTTTAAATTTAGAGTAATTCTTTTTTCCGCGTTGCTATCAATGATCGGACGGTTCGCTCCATTAACCTACCGCGTTTAAACATGCCTCTTTTGATAAAGAATCGATTTTTTCGAGCTACAGTGTTTCATATCGAAAACATCTGATGTAAATAAAACATGTTTGATTTATTTAATTTTTCTTTTTTCGCGATGACTCTGCGCGGCACTGTATGCACAAGGAGAGGTCGAGATTCGGTCATCTTTCCCGCTGTTTTCTTCTTGTTGTCGGGAGGGTCACGGAGAAAGCACTAATCCCAACACGCGAGTACTGCTATGGGCGGGCATGTTTGGCTTGTCTCGAGACGGCCCAACTTGGACATCTATGCTGATGCGAGTCGCAATCGCCGTTGGTCAGCGTCCTAGTTCATTGTCGATTCTGTCTGGCTTGAGTTAGTCCATCCTGCAAGCAGACGAGCCTCTGCCTCGTCTGCTTTTTCGACAGATTGATGTGACCACTCTTGGAAATATAAACGCTTACGCAGGCGTTGTATTTAATTCGTGCGTCGTGCTGTTGTGACGTCTCGATTGTAGTACATCCCCCTGGTGGGCTATGTTGCACGTTTTGGGCTCCCAGGAGACTAGGGAGAAGGAAGTGACGTTAACCACACAGCAAACGCAGATTGGGTGTTGATTTTGTTTTCTTCTGTCAACATCCAAACTGCGTTTGCTCTGGTCGTTGACGTCACTTCCTTCTCCCAAGTCTCCTGGGAGTCCAAAACGTGCAACATAGCCCCCCTGGTACTATCTTCGACCTCTTCCTTCATCAGCCTCAAAAACGCCGCCATTGAGTTTGGCACCAGAGGCCGTACACTGAGATGATGATAGTGATTAAGCGAGCCGGACTGAATTTAGACGAGAGAAACAAAAACGAAAGTAACCGAGAGGATGTTTGTCGGAACTTGAGAAGGTCGAGGAGAAACCGACGAGGACAGGACGTCGTCGCCTGCTTGGAAGCGTTCCGTCCGTTCGACGACGGCATCGCTGCAGAACCAGGCGTGCAAGAGGAGTGCC